ACATTTTTTTAAGTCTGTTTCATAAGTCATATTTGTCAGTGTATTTTTGAAGACTGTGAAAAATCCCTTGGCAAAGGCCTGCAGAATCTGTTGGATAACACTCTGTCTCAGAATAAATGTTCTGATGTCTCTCCTAATGTATACTGATGGTGATGTACTTAAAATTTTATGTTTCAACTCATAGCTCTGGATGGTACAAATTTGTGGCAGGTGTCATGATACATAATTGCCTTTCACTAGTGTTCTGTATTATGGGCATTAGCTTAGCTTATGCCATTACTTCATAGGTGATAACAGAGCCCCTACATTTCTAATTAACTCCTGGACTCTGAACTGCAGTCATTACCGAAGCAGCAGAATGGAAACGACTGGTGACAGACAACAGGCATTTCCTGACCAGGTTCTGGCTCTCTGTTGCACTCCTGTTGTCATGCTCTGCTGGAGCAAGGATTTGGGAGCAGTGTCAACAGTGATGGCCTGTTCTAGTTAATTGCAGCTGTTGTAGAACAGGGTGAGGATTGAAGAGTTCGGGGAGCACTCTGAGTTTCAACTCAGAATGTTTTTTTAAGCACAACTTGGGAACATTCTATAAAACAGAGAAGCAAATAGAAGCTGAAAATCTCATTAAGTTTGAAAGACGGAATTGGAAACTGTCTGCTAACTCCTGAATTGTTGTGTGGCCAGAATTTCTTACTGCAAGCTGGTATGGATGTTTCTATGAGACTGGATGAGCAGCTCCTGCTCCATGACTTTTTGAACAGAACAGATAAGACAAAGCATTTATGGAAAGGATTAAAAGTTCTTCTCAACTTTCTTTTGAAAATGGATAGCATACTAGGGAGAGTGGGAGGAAAGGAAGAACCCTGAAATTGCCAGTTGATTATGTTAATACCCTTAATACCATGGACATATTTTCTCAAAGAGGGTTAAACTTTAAAAAATTGGTTTACATTTGTACTCAGTCTTTACATTGATCTCAGTGTGAAGTTTTGAATGCTCAGCAGGCATGTAGCTCTGAATTTAGTGGTCTGAATTTGAGTGTAAATGTGGCACTTTTGTCCTTTATTTTTATCTCAGCTTTTGCTCCATTTGACTTCAATTTCAACATTTATGTCCTTTCATTTCATCCATTTATGATCAGTTAGATCTTTCAAGCCCCCAACTTTAATGAAGAACTCTGAAACCTTGGTCTGTGATATTCATAAACATTTCTTCATCTTGTTCCATTTTTCAATCACAGTACACAGCATGAGAATACAAAAATCTACAAGGTAGAAAGAGTCAATAATACCTAGCTGCAAAAGTGACTTTTGTTTGACAATTTTCCTGAAGACTGGAGTGATATATAAATATAAAGCAGACAAATGGGATCTACAGGGACCCCTTTAAGATCTTTATGAATATTTGAAAGGGCACCTGGAGCCATGGCTACACAGGGCAATCAATTGCTATGAATTTTTATTTCCTCAAGTACTCAAAGGGAATGACATGACAGGTATATGTATTATCAGCAAGATTCATTTCAAGAAATATGGGGCTTATTTTGATAAGACCAAGGGAGAAAAATATCATTCATAACTAATCTTCTTTACATAGATGTTGACAAAGCTTATGACTTAATTATTTGAATTATTGTAAAATTGAATGCTTCCTTTTATTTTTAGAAGCTGCATATTCTTTTTTTAATTCTAGTCTTGCTTCCTTAGAAATTTGAAAAGCAATCTCAGGAGCCTGCCTAAATGAATAATGAAAGGAAACATTTTTTTCTTTTAATAAGAATTGAAAATCAAATTAGAAGTTGGAATATTGGAGGTGTCCATCTTTCCTTTCTCTTTAGAGACTACTTTTCAAAAAATATTCTCTTTCTGAAGGAGAAGATTTCAAACCTTTAAGCTTATATTGACAGTCATCAAGTATTTTAAAATTGCATATTATATCAGAAACAATTAGAAAAATATTGTGTCACTGTAAATTCCATTGTTACTGTCATTTATGTACCTCTTTTGTGATATATATATGTAATAAGTTAAACCGGAAAAATAATTATTCATGCTTGTATTAAAGCTGTAAGAAAAAGCATTGTATCCATTTAAACGAAACTATAGTACCATCTATTTCTGTTTGGTTTTTTTTAGAGGTCAGGTTGAAATGTTGCTCTCAACAAAGCCCAAGTTCAAATGGTGCAGAACTAACTTCAGTAAGAAAATTTAAAAAAGGAGTAGATATACTGCAGAAATAGAATACTGTACACCTGGTATAGAAATTAAGACTGTTAATTTCTACAGGTTCTGTGGTTTGCTTGTATGGGTACACAACCAAATGCGTATATCCTAAAAGTGGTGGGTAGGCACCTTGGTTCTTCGAGATCCTAAATTCATTCTCAGAAATCCAGCTATTTAATCTTCCATGACATTACTCCTGAAATTATTTGTTTAATAACAATTTGAAGGATTTCAGGCAGAATCAGTTATTTTAAGTTACTCTAAGACATATGCTCCTTAGTTTTGACATTTTTCAGTTAGCTCAAACTTTTAGGAAGAATAAAATACAAACCAGGTTGCTATTGTGTAACTTACACACAGTATAAAATAGTTGGTAAATTCTAAGAAGCCAGTAGGCAGGGATTAATACATGAAATAAAATATTTGCTTGGTGATTATTCAGGGTCCTCAGGGTATAAAATTAAAAAAAAAAAATCAATCTGAGAGAGAACTGTTTTCTCTTTACAGTATTTCATATCCAGAGGCCTCTGGCCATAAAAGGTATTGAATCCATTATAAGCTTGCTGGATTTCTGAAAATCATGTCACAGCTCAGTTTTTTGCCATTTCCTGAGATCAATTCCATAAGTACTAGTTCTGTAAAAGTAATTTTTTTTTTTTAATGCCTAAAGCTAAAATACAAGTAATATATACACACATCAGTGATCTTTGTTTAATGAGAGAAGAAGATTTAGCTTTGTGGTTGTTTCTGAACATGGTGTACTGATGTATCAGCTCAAGATATTTTTGATCTACAGATAGACATTGAAAGATTGCTGACCTGTGTACACATGAAAACCTTGTTCAATACTCAGGTATGTGATGACTCAGAGGTCCTCCTGATTAAATAAAAAATGAACTAAAAAACCTCAATATCAACTACAGAAACTTTTAAACACCTATTCTCCTTCCCCTGCAGGCAACAGAGACATTTAAACAGGAACTTGGCAACCAACCTCGTTACTCAAATGTCTCTACACTCTACTCCTTACTGTAGTTGACAGCTGTATTTGTCCTTGTTATTTTCAGATCCTTGCTTTCTGCTTCCTATTCTACATTTAGCCTGTTATTATAAACATATTTAACCCTCCATTTCAATTATATTGATATATGCTAATGATTCAAATAGCCATTTTGCACTTACACTGCATGGGCAGAATTTCCCTTTATGGCTTCAATTAAATCTCATGCTATAGAGCTGAAAAAGCAATTTTCTTCAATTCAGTGTATGTAGGGGACAGCTACAGATAACAGTGATTTATGCATATTGTTCTCTGGAGGCTAAATGTATGTAAGATTCAGGCCTTAGGACATGGTTCTCAGTTTAGGACATGGAAAGAGAAGGGTGTTAAGGTGATTAACATAAACAGAACAAGTAAAAGCGCTAAAATGTCAAAGTTTTTGAAAGTTTGAATAGAGGCAAAAAAGATGGTCATGGTGGTCTCATCATTTAAAGTAGCTAAAACAAACCCATAGGCCCATAGACTAAAAGCAGACTTAAGATTTTTCTGCCATGGAACACTGAGGGCAAGACTAGAGACACCTTTCCAGTGCCCTTTATCTCACTGGTTTTGCTCTAGGCTCTTTGTTCTAGTTTTATGCAAGATGCCAGTGATTTACCAACCTTTCTGAATTCTCAGCATTTAATCAGTATCCTGATCCCTTCATTGCTCTGTCTTTTCTGAGAGAAGTTTTCTTAATCCCCTCTTCCAAATGAGAACATGAACAATAGAATGTTGCACTTGTATGGAGGATTTGACTAGAAGGTTCCCTGTCATAAAATATACTTGAATATAGCAGATTTTTTTTTCTTAATTTAAAACACCAATAGAATACAAAGCAATAGGGTAAAGGCATTGGAGTGACATCTTCACTACCTAAAGCCAAATCCATTGACACTTTAGAAATTAGAAATACCTCAGTAAGTATATCTGAAGTTCTCTTGGGTCATATTAAAATCTGTGATTTGCTGTAACTGACTGAAAAACTCAGACAAAAATAGTCACAAGGATAAAAGAAGCCGTAGTGATACAGGTGAGTGATCAGTTCTCCTTGTAAGGATGATGTTCTGGCTAGAGGTAAACATGCAGAAATTTTATAAGTTGAATTCTCATACCCAAGCGCAGGTATACTAATTGAAAATTACTACATGGTCTGGTTCCTCTTTAAAAAAAAAAAATCTCAATTTTTATAATTTTGATCTAGCTTCATTTGGTGAAGGCAGTTATCCAAAAGCCACAGTAAAATCCTTGTTGTGGGACTGTAATAACATTGCTTCTTTGTTTATTTAAGTAAGACAAAGGATCTCTACTATACAGTTGTGTAATTAAGGACATCAGTAAATAGGATCCACCTGTCTTAACAACAGGCATTCTAGAGGAAACTAGTTTAGGAGCTGAAACACAGCCAAGAGACTCAAAGGAAAAACAATACAATTAAATAAATTTGCAATCCAGAAAATATGAAGAAGAATAAATTCCACCATATTTTGAGGAAGAAGTTCCTCAAAAATGGGTAGAAATTCAGTGTACTTACTAGTTATGCAGGTGGACTGTTTCTTACATGCATGAGGGCATAATGTAGCATGTCTTGCCAGAATACAGAGGGGCTTTTCATTAGATTTTCCCTTGCTCATCAAGTGGACATGTCCTGTCTTTTTGTTCCACTAAACATAGAGAAATGTTGTACTGATATGGCTGTAATACTGAGTAGTCCTGATTGGCAGGGAGATAAAGATCCTTGGATTTTTGTTTTCAGTCTGCATTTCTTTGTTGCATTTGAATGTTCCTGAGAGTGTGTCTGGTCTTTCAGGGCTTTGAAAATCCCTCTCCTGCAAATCACCAGTCTTTTCATACTGTGAAGTTTTATGCTCGGGCTCCAGGATTGTTTTCAATGTCCTTTTTTTCTCTAAAATAGTTAATGTGAATCTATGCTGTACGCGATCTGATTTTTAACAACCTCTCTGGAGTAAAGAGAGGAAAGAAAGAATTCATTTGCCCTGCTGAGTAACCATCCTCTGCCTCTGAGTCCATTCTGTTAAAGCAGACAATCTTCTGCTGTCAGCTCTGTGCATTCCTCATCATTCCTTCCTGGTTTTTGTCTTAAAAAAGGAGCAGCAGAGAAGAAGTGCCGCACCAGTCAGGTGCAAATGTCAGGAAGGATCTGCAGCAGACCATATATGTCAGTTCCATATAGACAAAGTCTGCAGTTCAGGAGTGTGTCTGGGTATATGTATACACACACACCCCACATTTATGCACACAAAAAGACAGGATGGTAGAAATCAAGAGCAAGAAACAGGGAAAACCCCTTAGGATCTGCACACAACAAACACAATACATCACTAATTTCTTTACATATCCCAGCAACAGCAGCCAAGTCACTACACTGACACTATACTATGTAAACCAGTGAAGATTTAGATAATCATCACTGCAAGCATTGTTTTTTGTTTTTTTTTAAGTCCACAAAAAATGGTATTTTTGGTGTATTAATTAACACTTCTATTGTATCATTTATTTTTAGTTTATAAGTAGTCTCCAATAAATCATTTATCCTAAGAGGAAATAATTAGTTTTGCTACAAACCATCAATTTCCATGAATAAAAGTTGACAATCTACAGAAATAATTTACAAGTCTAATGCAAGTTCTAGATTTGTTTTCTCTATCACCCTGCCCTGTTTCTGTCTTATTTACAAGCATTTTGCTTGAAATAATAAATAAACAATAGCTGAAATCTTTCATATTAATTAACATAAAATGGCATTAGTTATAGCAATATTTAGCAAAGCAATCTGATGCGGAGGATTAACACTGAAACTAAGACATGAATAAATACATGATAATTGAAACCAAATTCACTAACCACTCATAGGATCACATTTTTAGATAAAGGTCTTGCATTTAATATGAGACAGTATAACCCTGCTGTGTGGACTATGATAAATTGCTTAGTGCATGTCTGCTGGGACGTGAGATGACAAGATATTATTCTTAACCCCAGAACTGTCAAACACGATTATTTCCACAGGAGCTTGACAGCACAGGCAGTGATAAAAGGAAACCTCTGTAGGGAAGAGGGCAGGAAGGAGACTAGAGCAACATTCTGCAGGTGTTTTTCATTGAATCATAGAATCGTTAAAGTTGGAAAAGACCTATTGAGATCATCAACTCCAACTGTTAACGCAACACTGTCAAGTCTATCACTAAAACCATGTCCTTAAGTGTCACATCTGCGTGTGTTTTGAATACCTTTGTTTCAACCACTTCTCTGGGCTGCTGGTTCCAATGTCTGACTACCCTTTAGGCATAGAAACTTTTCCTAAAACCTCCCCAGTGCAACTTGAAAGCATTTCCTCTTATCACATTGCCTATTATTTGGGAGAAGAGACAAACCCCCACCTTACTACAAACTCCTTCAGGTAATTGTAGAAAGCGATAAGGTTCCCCCTGAACCTCCTTTACTCCAAGCTAACCAACCCCAGCTTTTTCAGCTTCTCCTCAACCAGCTTGTGCTCCTGATCCCCCACCAGCTTCATTGCCCTCTGGACATGCTCCAGCACATCAATGTCTTTCTTATAGTGAGGCACAAAAAACTGAAGACAGGATTTGAGGTATGGCCTCACCAGTGCTGAGTACAGAGGGATAATTGCTGCTCTGGCCATAGTATTGCTGAGAAGCCAGGATGCTTGGTCTTCTTGGCCACCTAGGCCCACTGCTGGCTCATGTTCAGCCCTGTCAATCAGCATCCCAGATCCTTTCCTGCGGGGCAGCTTTCCAGCTATTCTGCCACCAGCCTGTTGTGCTGCATGGAATTGTTATGACCCAAGAACCAGACTCTGCCTGTTAAAACATGTAAAATTGACCTCAGGCCATTGATCCAGCTTGTCCAGGTCCCTCTTTTGAGCCTTCCTACCCTCCAAGCAGATCAACACTCCTTCACAATTTGCAAACTTGTTGCAGGTATCTTGATCTCCTGGTCCACATAATTGATAAAGATATTGAGCAGGGCTGACTCCAACAGTGAGATGTGGATACATAACTTGTATGAATGACTGTTGTCAGAAGGGGAGAAGACTTAATTTCTGTAAGACAATTCACAGACAGTTCTGCGATTTCTAGCACATAAAAACCCCTTGCATCTTTGCTGCCACATGAATCTTCATCCCCTAATTCCATTGAGACACATTCTCATTGAAAAAAATGCAGAGCCTGTAATAATAGTGGTTTGATTTGTTCTGGGGGGGTTTTTGCTCATGGAAAACAAATTTAGAAATGTGGTATCAGCTACAGGAAGTGTCTTTTACTATTAACAAGCATCCTATATCTGCAAAAGTGAAGAAAGAAGTAGCAAATTTATAGCAGAGCTAATACAAGAAGCCCTTACACATAGACCACTTGTGATCTCAACAGATTTGTCACTGCCAAACACCGTGTCTGGGAGGTCCCTGAGGTAGAGCTTGTCTTACAGTGGCTGCAGTTGCTCATGTTGAAACTGAGTGCACTGCTTTGCTCTTGGACGTTGAATATCGAACAGGTTCTTCAGGAGGTTTCTGCCAAGCTGGCAAAGGAGTGCTTGTGGGAGAACTGAGACTGTCCAGGCTCTTGGAGGGGATGGAGGTGGTGACAGTCTAGTCTCAGACCCATTAGCTACAATAGACCTTGAAGGACTTTGACATTCTTACTGTGTCACATATGAAATGCACACAATGTTATGGGAAGAGCGTGCACAGGCCATGTCTCTATTGGGCTGGCTCAGCACATTTTATCATAATACATGGGTGGGTGTCTGTTTGCTATGATCCACCCTTGAGGACAAAGTGAAACCCAGGTTCTTGTAAATACATCCTCTGGGGTGGATGAGAGTGAAACAACTCAGAAGTCTTTTCAGTGTTTATGAGAGTGAAACAACACAGAATTTATTTCAGTGTTTATAAATATATCAGTGGTTTTAAATAGATCAGTGTTTCTAAATGAATAAATAAATAAATTAATATATGTAGGTTTTATTTTAGAACAATTTGATTGCAATGCAAAGCAGGAATGAGACCTTTTTTGGGTTTCATTGCTAAGCCTATATGTGAATATGAATGTCCTGATGTCTGGTGTGAATGTGACCTTCCCAGGGGGTGGAGTGTAAGGCAGGACATTTGGCATGATTACCTGTCTCCTCAGGGTCTGCTTCATATCTGTCTCTGAGCCTTGCTTGTGTCACTCTGTCTTTATAAACATCAGAGGTTTCACCACCACACACCCAAAATCTCACCTCCTCCCCCTTAGAGCAAACTTGAAATTTCTGGTTTTACAAATAGTAGCTCTTCTGGAAAGTCAATGCCAACATTTTACCTTCTGCTCTTCTGGCCTTATTCATTGTGTTTGTGTCAAGAAAGCTGATTTCTGTACTGCTCTTTACTTCTTGTTGGAATTTTGTTGGCTGTTGTAGTTGTCAGGAAAATGAAAGGTCACTGAGGACATTCTGTGCTCTGTGCCAAAGTACAACAAAAGTTTAAATTCGCTATTTTGTGTAACTCAGTGGAGAGTTTAACAGAGCAGCAAGCAGCAGAAGGACCTTCAGAGGCTTACAAAGAAGGCCAGGAAAAGGCTCTTAGGGCTTTATCAAGTAGTACAGAAATAAGAGTATATGAGCCTGAATATTGGCAACATTCTTTGAAATTAGTTGAAGATAAGTAAAAGGGAAATGCCCCATCCATAGGATGCCTGTCCCAGGTGTATTGTTGCACTCGGAGATAAGAATTATTCAAGTCTACATTTTGTCCTCAGAAGCATTAGGCATTGGTGAAAATTTTGTCTGGTTTTTTTTGCTTTTCAGAAGCAGCTCACCACCAATTAATTACTCAATTCTCTTGTACCTGCCATTACATAAAATAGTGTAGTAAAAATTTTTGTTGTCAATTAATTAAAATGTAGACAGAAATCAAAATTCCTCAAGATTGAATGATTTCCAAGTTCTAGATGTCTGAGAAAACAATTCTTCTGTCTGATACAGCTAAATAAAGATTTATTTTTAATGTGCAAGAATTGCAGAAAAATTGAGCTATTTTGTTCTCTTTCCTCTAGGGCTTCCTAGCAGATAGAACAACCCAAACACTGTTGTAAAATAGTATTAAGAATAAATGAGATAGAATTAATAAACCCAGCATGATTTAGAGGAAAACGTGTGGGAGAAAAGTAAAGATGCAGTGGAAGTGTTATGACTTGAATTGGTGAAGGGGATGCCAGGTAACATCTTTTATACTGCATCATTGCTCTGGTCCAGGGAAGTCTGTCTGTACAAGAGAAGTAGAGTCTGAAGAGAAATACAGCCAATAAAGGAGAAGAGATGCATAAAGAATACAACCATGGAAATACACCAGGAAATGCTTATTTGATTAGTTTGATTAGTGATATTTCATTTTTTGACTGAAAGATTAAAGTAAACTTTGATAAGGAATGACATATACTATTTTTATGCATTTATATGTTAGGGTTTACCATGGAAACAGAAATATAACACCTTTATTTTCCTTGTTCTTTCAACACTGAGTTGCCTAGGCTGATTATGTGTCTTTAACTTTGGATAGAGATACCCTGCCCGAAGAAATCTCTGCCCTTGCCTTCTACAGTACCCCTAAATTTACTACTTAACTTTAAAAAGCTTGATTTATTTTTTTTTTCTGCAGAAATAGGAAATTTATTAAGAAGATGCACT